AAAAAAAATTATATTGTTTAGATGGTAGTTGAGATATCAGTATTTACTTTTATCCTTAGTTCATTCTTATACATTGAAGAGTTTAATGAATTCTTTAATGAAGAGAAAAAAAATATATTAGGATGGATTCAAGCAATAATACTATCAACTGGCCTAATAGTAGAATTAATCATGATATGCTAAAATTTATTATAAAAATTGAAATAGAAATGCAGAAGATAGACAAAAATTTTGAATAGTCCATTATTTTTTACTTTGAATATTAGCAACATGTAGAATTGCAATTAGAATAGCAATTAATGATTTCATATTAAAGTTCATAAGATTATACAATTTAAAATACAATTAAATCTATTTTTTTTAAGTATGGGTTTGGTCAGCTAAAACTGCTAATATTACTGGCGCCAGTTATATGGTGGGGCTTTGTTAAAAGTCCTACTTCCTAATAACTATCTACCTATTATGTAAGCACTATGGTCAGGGGCCATTATTAATTTTGCTGATTTGGAGTTAAGCATGGGTTATGAGGATTAATATAATTATAAAATATGAAAATTTATATTTTTAAGGAGGTCTTTAATTCCTAAGTTCCTAAGGCAACGTCAATGAAAAATATCTATAAAGAAATCGATTAATTTCTTTAACATGTATGATATTTAAAAAAAAAATTAGGGTTGTATGCAGAATAAAACTAAAATATATGTCACTACGAAAGTTCGAAAAAATTAGAAAAAAAAACTTTATATTATAATTTATGAAAAAATTCCATTATAATTAATTATATCAATAGAACATTGTAAAACTAACAAATTTTCAATTTGCTTAGAGTGTGAAGTAGGATTTGTTATGATTGACAACATATGTTTCCCTAACTGTGGAGATAAATTAATCCTTGAATAGTATGAAGACTGTGATGATGGAAATTAACAACCATATGATGGTTGCTTTTAATGCGAGTTTTAATGCAGTGAAGAATGCAAAATATGTGATTGAGGATAATGCATTTTAAAATGTGAAGAGGATATGAGTTTGTTAATAATAGTTGTCTTTCTGTATGTGGTGATCAAATTGTCACTAAAGAAGAGGATTGTGATGATGGTAATTTGCAACCTTATGATGGTTGTTTTGATTGCTTGTATTCTTGTTCAAAAAATTGTTTTGAATGCTTTCAAGGTATTTGCTTAGAGTGCAATTATTAATTCTAATTACTAATTTCAAACTAGTGCAAACAATAATTAAATTGTGGAGATGGATTTCTTTAGGAAAATGAGGAATGTGATGATGGTAATTATTACGCAATGGATGGATGTAAGGAGTGTTAAATTGAATAAAATTGGATATGCATTACAATTACCAAAGATTCTTAAAGCTAGTGCACATTTGTCAAGGCTCCAAACTTAGTAATTAATTATCTTAATATGACTAACAATAAATAGTATATAAGCATCTTATTTGATTAAAAAGTAAAAATAAACACTTTTTAACCTTTCTCAGAAACTATAAATTTTGAATTATTAAATATAGACGAGAAGAACTGGAATAGCACCTTACATATTATTTAGGATATTGGATCTGAAGTAAGTTTTGGAGAATTTATTGTATAAATTGAAGTTTACTAGTTACTTGAATTTAGGCCAATCTTGAAAATTTAAGTAAATTAGATAGTTACTAATTAATATAATGCTGTTTTGGAAGTAGTTGAAAAATCAATAACATTGAAATATCCAACATTTATTGACTAAACACAGAAGGATTATTCTTAAAATTTAAAAAGTCTTAATTAAAATATAATTTATCTTTTGACTGGGATTGTCGTTGCGAGTCTGATATTAGGAAGTGGCGATTTATTTGTGGAAATTTTGGCAATCCTTTAATTCCAGCAATACTTAAAATACATTAATCTGTAATATCCAGAAAATTTAGAGATATATTTTTCTCTTTATGATCTGATAACTATTCAACCTCTCTTGGAGTTAATCTATTTTCCTTAACTTTTATAGTTTATCGATTTTTAGCCATATTAAGAATATTCTCAAGGAAAATTTAATTTTTACAAATAAAACTCAAACTTAATCATTAATCTTTCTTGTCAAATATTTTAATTGTTGATATTGTTACTCCTTAACTTGTTGTTGAAATAAATAAAAAAAATTCTGTACAATGGGATTTTTTGTCCCAGATTCTTTTATGGTATGTCAAGGTTATCATTATATTTAAAGCGAAAAATAATCCTTAAGTTTAATTAGTCCTTTTATAACTTTTTCATGAATTTAATTAAATTATTAAAATTGATGTCTTTTTTAAGGATTACAAAAAGCCTTACTCCTAAATGGCTGGGATATGATATTTAAAACATTATTATATACAAGAAGCAGTTAAATTTAAGATTATCTTGATATTGTCTAAATTATAATAGGAAGTATTATACTTTTTATTGATTTTTCCATTTTCCTAGATTATTTCAAAGTAAAATAGAAATTACAA